GAGGCGAGGCCTCGGGTTTCTAAACACAGATTCAAACTGATCTTATTAGACAAGTTCACACCAGGAAAGCTTGATTCTGTCCTCCCAGCGTCAGTGTCTTTGCCCCTTAGTTCAGTGGTTCTCAACCTTGGCTGCACATGATGTAATAGTTGATATCTAAGTTTTGCCCTTTTAAATTAGTGGCAGGTTTCCTATATGTAATATTCTCTGAAGCAACAACAAAAAGGAGTGGACTCCATGGATGTCAGGCTTGAGCCATATAGGAAGTGAGGCTGAAAGAGACGGTGGGTGTACAGCTGCCATCTGGGGCAGGAACCCATGGTGACCATTACAGAGGGAAGCCAGAGAGTTCATGGTCCTCATGAGGGACTTCCATGGTGTGCTTAGCATGTAGGCCAGTGAAGGCGAACCTATGACACGCGTGTCAGAGGTGACACGCGAACTCATTTTTTCGGTTGATATTACTTTGTTAAATGGCATTTAAATATATAAAATAAATATCAAAAATATAAGTCTTTGTTTTACTATGGTTGCAAAGATCAAAAAATGTCTCTATGTGACACGGCACCAGAGTTAAGTTAGGGTTTTTCAAAATGCTGACACGCCGAGCTCAAAAGGTTCCCATCACTGATGTAGGCGAAGATACACATGGGCTCTGACTATTAGCAGGCGGACTAAGGCCCGCATTAGCTCTTTTCATCCATGTACTGTCTTGGCAAACTCTAACTCTGTGCTTCTCAATGGTGTCCCCGGGAGACATGACAATGTTAGGAGGCATTTTTCAGGGTCACACTTGGCATCTGGTGGGTAGAGGTCCGAGTGGCTGCTTGGACACATCCTGTCTCATCTGTAGCTTGCTCCCCGGAAATAATTTCACCCCGCGGGAACTAGAAGCACATAGTGTTGGCATCCAATGACAAGAGCACTGGGTTTGGATGACCTGCTCTGCCACTTTCAACATGCAACACCTTAAGTGAGTGATAGAGTTTTTCAGAGTCCCATTTCCTCATCCTAGGAAAACTAAGACAGCCCGGCCGGTGTGGTTCAGTGGTTGAGCCTCGACATATGAATCAGGAGGTCACAGTTCAAGTCCCAGTCAGGGCACATGCCTGGGTTGTGGGCTCAATCCCCAGTAAGGGGCATGTAGGAGACAGTTGATCCATGATTCTCTGTCATCATTGATGTCTCTCTCTCTCTCTCTCTCCCCCTTCCTCTCTGAAATCAACATAGATATACTAAAACAGATAGCAGAGTTAATTCATAAGTTTAATTAGCTAATCCATATAAAGTTTTTAACAAAAAACTTGGCATGTGATAACCATTCGGTAATACTTCCTTTATAAATAAATTCTTTATTGTTGCAAGTTTTACATATGTCTTTTTCCCCCATTGACCTCTTCCGCCTGCTCCTGCCCCCAGCTTTTCAGTTTGGGGTTCAGTGAGAGAATACATGTGAACTGCAGAACACAGGGAAGCAGCCAGTAGACATTTGCTTCTAGAAATTAGCATTATGATCACATCACAGGACTGCAGTGAGGGTTCTATGAGATGGTAAGAAGACATAAAATAGCACCTGCATCAGTAAATATTTATGGGCAGACTAAGAGGATGTATAAATGAATACATGCAGGGATGAGTCTGTTGATACCAATAGCGGAGTATTCCTGAGGGTAATACTAGATATAGGAACTATACCTGCTGTTCCTCTATCTCTCTGTTAATGTGGCTGGAGCTCTTGCCACTCATCATCATTGTATTCCTTTCCTATTGCTGCTGGAACAAACTTAGTGACTTAAAACTACACATTACTTTATCTTATATAGGGTGTCCCAAAATTCACGCAAGAATTGCAAATCTTGCGTGAATTTGGGACACCCTATATCTTACTGCAAACACAAAAACTTTGTTTCTGTTCTTAAGTATATTTTGGCCAGGTATTTAGTCATTTCTTTTTGTCTTTCATGTTGAGAGTTAGGACGTCAGAAGTCTACAACAGGTCAGCAGCGCTGCATTCCTTCTGGGTACCCCAGGGAAGATCTGCTGCCTTGCCTGCTCCAGCTTCTAAAGGCAGCCTGCATTCTTTGGCTCCTGGCCCCTTCCTCCATCTTTAAAGCCATCAACATATCATCTTCTCTCCTGCCTCCCTTTTGTAAGGATACTTGTGATGACATTGGGCCCACCCAGATCAGCCCAGACCCTCTCCTGATCTCAAGATCCATAACAATGATGCCTGCAAAGCCCCCTTTGAATATAACATCCTTTCAGGTTCTTGGGTCCTGTCACAGGCGTCTTTGGGGGGCCCTTATTCTGTCTACCACAACCATAAGAGCCTTTTTGTAAATCCCAAACAGAATACGCCTGAAAAAAGGCAGGTCTGCCTCATATTCTGTTTTGTGTCCATCACAGTCTCAAATACAGTACTTTGCACAGAAGTGATGTGCATTGATGGGCGTATTGATTATTGCTCCTCATTTTCCTTGTGAATTACATACCTTTGAATACATTTTTTCCTAGATATGTCTGAGGAACCTTTCAATATCTGGGGAACTTGGCATTCAACATTGAAGAGTGGATCCAAAGACCCAGAAATGACAGGTGAACTATTATGTTTTAAAATGTTTATCGCATTTGCTTTGAAAATTAATGTTATTTCATCTTTGCCTTGTTATCACAGTACATGCTTGTCAAAAATTATTTGCAGCCCTGACCGGTTTGGCTCAGTGGATAGAGCATCAGTCTGCGGACTGAAAGGTCCCGGGTTCGATTCCGGTCAAGGGCATATACCTGGGTTGCGGGCACATCCCCAGTGGGGGGTGTGCAGGAGGCAGCTGATCGATGTTTCTCTCTCATCGATGTTTCTAACTCTCTATCCCTCTCCCTTCCTCTCTGTAAAAAAAATCAATAAAATATATATAAAAAATTATTTGCAAAATGCTGAGAATAGGGGGATAGGATAAAGTTGCCCTTAGCCTTTCCACCAAAATATGTCAATCTCCGACTAGATTTCATTTCATTTTCTTTGCAAGAGTTTGTAAACATGGCTAAACTCATTCTGTCTCTGCAACTCTACATTATTTAACTTCCATTTCCCGGTTGTCCTCCATGATTACTGGTCAGGGCCACAGCGTACTTCAGAGTGCATAGTCATCGCTAACCACCCAATGCCTGGACAACGGGGTTGTTTCCATTTTGTTGTTGTTCTTGCAATAAATTAATGCCGCCAGGAACTCCTTTTATGTACACTTTTTAAATGTTCTTATTAATTTTTTACAAATTCTTTATTGTTGAAAGTTTTTACATATGTCTTTTCCCTCCATTGACCTCTCCCGCCTGCTCCTGCCCCAAGTTTTTATTGATTTTTAGAGTGAGAGGAAGGGAGAGAGAGAGAGAGAAACATCACAGAGGGAGAATCATGGATGGCTGCCTCCTGCACGCCCCCTACTGGGGATCCAGCCGGCAACCCGGGCATGGGCCCTGACCGGGAGTTGAACCGTGACCTCATGGTTAGTGGATCGTCACTGAACCCCGAGACACACTGGCTGGGCTTATGTACATTCTTGCATTTGAAATTACTGTTGGGGTCACAAGATTTTGGGAAGAAAGTTATAAATTCAGATTAGGAAAGTGAATCACAAATCACAGATCTGAGAGGTACACAGTCACTTCATGTTCCCTGTAGGGCGTGTGAGTTTGTTCTCTGGGAGCTGCAGGTGGCCGCACTGTCTGCCTCTTTAACCTGATCAGCATGACAAGTCATTGGCTTGGCATTTTTGCCAACTTAACAAACAAAATGGCATTGCTTTTTTAACAAATGTATTGGGGTGACATTGGTTAATAACATTATATAGGTTTCGGGTGTACGATTCTAGGATACATCACCTGTATATTGTATTGTGTGTTCACGACTCAAAATCTTAGTTTCCCTCTGTCGTCATATATTTCACCTCCTTTACTCTCTTCGTCCTCCCCTCACCCCCCACCCTCTCTGGTAACCACCATACTGTTGTCTGTGTCCATTCATTTCTTTATTTGTTGCTTTCTGTTTTATATCCCACAAATGAGTGAGATCATGTGGTTCTTGTCCTTTCCCGTCGGACTTATTTCGCTTAACATGGTACCCTCAGGATCCATCCGTGCTATCGCAGATGGCAGTATTTCATCCTTATAATGGTTAAGGGGCATTCCGTTGTCTTCTTTTCATTTGCATTTCTTTCTCATCAGCATTTTTCGGTCTTTCTATGAATTTACTGAATTTTCCTCCATTGAGCTATCATTTATGTCATTGGCTATTTATGTGTGCTAATGTTTTCAAAATTAATTCTGATGAACTCTTCCTCTAATACAGATGTTAACCCTTTGTCTATATTGTTTGCCACTGATATTATGCCTTGCGTTTTTTCTCACTTTGGATATCTGGAATGTTCTTAGGTTTCACATAATTAAGTCTATCAGTATCTCTTTTTGTGAATTTTTTACAAAATTAATCTTTACTAAGCATTGGATAGTCATCTATATGCCTTTCATTTTCATAGTATTTCATTCTTTTACCTTAATTCTTTAATCCATATGAAGTATATGCTAGTTTATACTCAGGGGTCCTCAAACTATGGCCCACAGGCCACATGCAAATACAAATATTGTATTTGTTCCTGTTTTGTTTTTTTACTTCAAAATAAGATATGTGCAGTGTGCATAGGAATTTGTTCATAGTTTGTTTTTTTTTAACTATAGTCCATCTCTCCAATGGTCTGAGGGACAGTGAACTGGCCCCCTGTTTAAAAAGTTTAGGACCCCTGGTTTATAGCATTAAGTGTGTAAACTTTTGAGATATATATATAATTATTGATTTTTTACAGAGAGGAAGGGAGAGAGATAGTCAGAAACATCGATGAGATGAGAAACATTGATCGGCTACCTCCTGCATGCCCCCTACTGTGGATCTAGCCTGCAACCCAGGGATGAACCCTGACCGTGAATTGAACCGTGACCTCTTGGTTCCTGGGTCGATGCCCAACCGCTGAGCCACACCAGCTGGGCCAAATGAGTGTTTTAGATTCAATTCATTTATTCCTGCAGCTTTTATTGCTATGATAGAAACATGAAAACATTATGTCTCCTCTGGATTGCAAATTGCACTGAGCAGGAAGGGAGCAGAGAAGGGAGTGTTCCCAGCCAGGTTGAGGGGGCCTTTTCTGAAATGTCAATTAGCGACAAGGACTGTTGAATCTCATGTGCTAGCTAACCTGTCAGAGTCTAGGCATCTATATTTGGAGCTGCTACAGCAATTGTGTCCATAATCAAAAAGTGGAGCCCTAGCTGGTTTGGTTCAGTGGATAGAGCGTCAGCCTGCGGACCAAAGGGTGCCGGGTTCGATTCCTGTCAAGGGCACATGCCTCATTTGCAGATTCCCCTGCCCTGGTCAGGGTGTGTGCAGGAGGCAACCAATCAATGTGTCTCTCTCACATTGGTGTTTCTCTCTGTCTCTTCCTCTCCCTTCCGCTCTCTAAAAATCAATGAAAAAATATCCTGGGGTGAGGATTAACAACAACAACAAAAAAGTGTCATTTTTTTATTTACTAGGAAGTCTTTTACATCACCCAGGCCGTGGTCGGGAAACTGCGGCTCGCAAGCCACATGCGGCTCTTTGGCCCCTTGAGTGTGGCTCTTCCTAAGCCGTAGGAGTACCCTAATTAAGTTAATAACCATGTACTTACCTATATAGTTTAAGTTTAAAAAATTTGGCTCTCCAAAGACATTTCAATCATTGTACTGTTGCTATTTGGCTCTGTTGGCTAAAGAGTTTGCCGACCACTGAGTCCCAGCGGCGCCTGAGAATGCCCTGTGCTTTTTCAATCCTTGGAGCTGGCAGCAAAGGAAGCACCAGGGCATCTGAACCAAGATTCTCGACCCTAATTCCATGTCTTGCCCTTCTGTCTGGCTTCCAGGTTCCTATGGAGACATTTTTGAAAGCAGCTCCCTCCGACCGGGGCCGTGTTCCCTTTCTCAAGGGAACCTGTCCTCACATTGGCCCCGGTGGCAGGGGAGCCCCACAGAACTGGACAGTGGCCCGCAGGCCATCCGGAGGACTCAGACCACGGCCACCATCCCGGAGTGCCGGGCCCACCCTCCGGTGTCCCGCGTGTGCAGCACGCCCCACATCCCGGGCGGCGGCAGGAGGTGGGAGCTGGCCACGCCCAGGCTGGATAAGCTTACCACGCCCAGGTTTGAGATGGCCACGCCCAGGTCGGAGCTGGTCACGCCCAGGTCGGAGCTGGCCACGCCCAGGCCGGAGCAGTATTTGACTCTGAGCAGCATGGAAGACCTCGCCGAGAGCGACCTGAGCGTGGCCTGGCTGCCGAGCCGCTCCAAGCCTTTGCACCAGAGACCTCGGGAGAGGGCGAGGCCCGACTGCAGGCCGCCGCCTCCTTACCCCGGGCCCGGGAAGCAAGTTGCGGCCCACCAGCCCGGAGAGCCCCCCCTGTGGAGGCGCCAGAGGCCAGAAGAAGCTTCAGGATCGCCCTGGGAGGAGGGAAGCCCAGCCGCCCAGCGAGAGCATCAGGCTGCCCAGCCCAAACTGAGCGGCGCCTGCTCCGCTCCCGCCAGCGATCAGAACAGTAAGGGCCTGGGGGAACCCACCTGGCTCGATTGGCAGAGAGACCGGTTGCAGATCTGGGAGTTCTTGTCCGCAGACAACCCCGATGCCCTCCCGGAAACACTGGTATGAGCCCTCACCCAGCTTCGGCCCTCACGTCCCAACAGTCTTCTTCCACTCCGGAAGGAAAAGAGTTGGTGTTGGTCAATTGGACATTTACTTACTTTTTCTTCTTTTACACTTCAAAAAAAAATAATAACACAAGGGAAGCCCAGTTCACTTAAAGATATAGAGCACTAACACCCTCACCATTTATAATAAGATTCTATTGCATAGCCAGCCTTAGGGAAATACGAAATCATAAACGGATGGCAGTGTCTAATATATAAACTGCTCACATTGGCTCTAAGATAAAACTCTTGCTTTGGTATAGCTTCATTGTATTTATGTGTCTTCAGTTTTGACTATTGTATATTCTGTAACGGATTATGTATGATAATCGTATATGATATATTCACAGAAAACAAAAGGAACATTTTTTAAATCACTTCACTTATACTAAGCAAGGAGATTCTATAGAATGTTCTAGAATATGCACAAGCGGGTTTCTGTGCTTTTGCCATAGCTTTTAAAGAGGGACAGTCCTTCCTTCAATGCCTAAGAAAAACACTAACAAAACAAAGTAAAAGAGAGTATGAGAAGCCATATTTTTATATAGTAGAGAGATACAAAAAAATATAGTCACTGAATGCTTTTTCATATGGAATATATTTTAAGGAAATATTAGATTTGATATGTTATGGAATATATTTTTGGAATCTGTTTAGAAAGGATTCAGTTTATCAAACAGGAGAAAGGCCGTGCCTAACAAAGAAAGAATCATTAAGAAATCATCCTTCCCATTTTAGGTCAAATTCAATTTCATAGAGACCACATATAATATATATTTATAATGTGTAACTTTTATGTATTTTTCAAAACTACAAACTGGAATCCGACTATAAAGTGATTAGAGCATTCAAATTAGAGAACATGGTTTTTCCTTTTGCCCCATAATCAGTATTAACCAAATTATATGCAATGCTTTAAAAGTAAATAATATTGGGAAAAAGACTACAGCTTTGTATTTACATTGTACCAAAGGCTGAGGAAATGTTTTCTTCAGCAATTTTGTGTGTATTGTAAAATGCCCCTTCCGTACTTCATTCTGTGTAGTACCTTTCAAGTTTTTCAACTGCAAAACTATTTTTGACCAGCAGGTGGCGATTCGCTTCAGTATTTTATGAGATTTTTTTCACTTCATAATGTGTATCATAGAAAAATGATTTTTTTTATAAAATATGCTACTCTTAACTTTCATGTTGCCAATGACATTTTCAGTGGTGTTTGTTAAAATTCTGTCTTGTGCCATGAGTAATAAAAAGTTAAGTGAAGGCTTTGTTCTGCGTGTTAAATTCAATGAATGAATTCACGTCCTATCCCATACATACACCCCACACTCCACAAATACAAATGTATTAAAGATGCCAATACTGCCCTTACCGGTTTGGCTTAATGGATAGAGCGTCGGCCTGCGGACTGAAGGGTCCCAGGTTTGATTCCAGTCAAGGGCATGGACCTTGGTTGCGGGCACATCCCCAGTGCGGGGTGTGCAGGAGACAGCTGATCGATGTTTCTCTCTCATCAGTGTTTCTAACTCTCTATCCCTCTCCCTTCCTCTCTGTAAAAAAATCAATAAAATATATTTTAAAATGCCAGTACTATACATATACAGCTAAGGAGCTAGTAAGTATGATGGCTTGGGGACATCAACCAGTGACACTGATATACTTTGAAATTTATAATTATTTGTTTCAAGTGAAATTGATTGTCACACAATTGAAATTCAGTTGTCAATGAGGAGGTGGTTTGCTACAGGATGGGAACTCGGGTTTCTTACCTTCTCGACAAGTACTACCCAGCACGATCCCTGTAAGTTCCATCTCCTATGGGCCTTAGTCAGTGATGGCGAACCTATGACACGCGTGTCAGAGGTGACACGCGAACTCATTTTTTGGGTTGATTTTTCTTTGTTAAATGGCATTTAAATATATAAAATAAATACCAAAAATATAAGTCTTTGTTTTACTATGGTTGCAAAGATCAAAAAATTTCTACATGTGACACGGCACCAGAGTTAAGTTAGGGTTTTTCAAAATGCTGACACGCCGAGCTCAAAGGGTTCGCCATCACTGCTAGATGCTTAATTTGTTTCAGGAGCAGACTGAAGTCCAGAAGTGGTATCTCATTTTCTTTCTGGGGGAATGACTATGCTACCTTCAGGCCGAGCCACCGGTCCGGCACCTCTGCCGCTGGCTGGGACACAGGCCCAAGAACTTGGCTGCCGGCCTCCTGCTCTTCCCGGCCACCCACAGCCAAACGCTGTCAACAAGACCGAGAGCAAACACTGCTTGGTTCTGAATTGCAGGTTGCTCTCCTGTGGCACTTACTCTCATCCTGACCTACTCCTGCTGACCCTGTGTTTTCTTGGCTTTGAATTTGACAATGATCTGGCCGGTGCTTTCCCTCCGTTCTAGACCGGACTGCCTGATATACGGGGTCCTCTTCCTGCCAGGTTCTTGCCCTAATAGTACTGTTTCTGAAAACTTCCAGACTAAACGGCACCGAGGGTGTCTGCGTCACAAAATGTCACAAAAGGTCTGTTTGTCTGTTGATAGTCAGGTCTAAAGTAGCCAATCCAGAAAACAGGGCTCAGAATATTTATCAATAATTCAATTGTGGCCGAAACCAGTTTGGCTCAGTGGATAAAGTGTCGGCCTGTGGACTCAAGGGTCCCAGGTTCGATTCCGGTCAAGGGCACGTACCTTGGTTGCAGGCACATCCTCAGTAGGGGGTGTGCAGGAGGCAGCTGATCGATGTTTCTCTCTCATGGATGTTTCTAACTCTCTATCCCTCTCCCTTCCTCTCTGTAAAATATCAATAAAATATATTTAAAAAAGAAAAAAATAAATAATTCAATTGTGTGTGTGTGTGTGTGTAATGAAGACTATTTACTTTGTGTGTGTGTGTGTGTGTGTGTGTGTGTGTGTGTAATTAAGACTATTTACTTCCCTTTCTCTTTGTATGGTTTCGGCCCAGTGGCCGTATCTTTAGCTTAGTAAGTGACAGCTAGTTCGTAGCTGCCTTTATCCCATGAAAAATAAGCTGTTTTAAAGCACACACACGAGACCCAAGGACCTGAGTGGAAACTGAAGTCATTTCTCGCACCTTGTAGATGATTTAATACCTGATAAGAAAAAATAAAACTCCAACTCTTTCAGGTTGGATGAACCATTTAACAGGCTGTTCAAGTCCCTCATTCCTGTGAGCAAAGAGATCTACGAGGCGCTGCATCTAGGAGTCCTCAATCCCTGGTTTTGTGTTGCTGGCAGTGGGGCTTGACCGATGATGGCAGGAATAGCCAAATAAGACTGTCTTGATCCACCTAAGTAGCTATTACCATACGTTTATTGTGGTTTTTTTTATATAGAAAAAACTCGTATACCCATGGAGTTTGTGCACATGGAGGACATTTCTAAATAAGCCCAGCTTGCTTCTTATGCACATTTTAATACACATCTGCTTGGCAAAGAAACAGCCTGGGGATTAAGCAGAAGGAGATAGCAGAACAGAGTCCGGGCCTGGGGTGTGTGTCTCCTGATAAGCGAGCTGAGAAAGGAAATGACTGAAGAAGAGTCCCACAGAGATGAAAACAGGGCATCGGGACTGGACCGCATTTGAAAGCAGGACTAAATCAGCAGCAAATGTTCCAGAAAAAAAAGCAGAAACCAAAGGAAAATTCCACTGAAGGTTGGAATTCCTCCACGCAATCAAGACGACTGAAGGCGGCGTGGGGGTGTTGAGCCGAAGGCAGTGGTCTCTGGGGTGGGGACCCCTGGCCTGGCGTGGCCTGCAATTCACCGAGGTACATACATGCAGCAGCAGCCCCCACTGAGGGCCCCAGGGGATCATAGGAGGGTCAGAAGGTTCAATTCAATTCGGTCCACATCAGCCTAGACCAGTGGTCGGCAAACTCATTAGCCAACAGAGCCAAATACCAACAGTACAAAGATTGAAATGTCTTTGGAGAGCCAAATTTTTAAAACTTAAACTATATAGGTAGGTACATTGTTATTCACTTAATTAGGGGACTCCTAAGGCTTAGGAAGAGCCACACTCAAGGGGCCAAAGAGCCGCATGCGGCTCGGGAGCTGCAGTTTGCCGACCACGGCCCTTGAGGAAGGGATCGGTTGCTGGATTCATCCACTCACCCATCTAACCAGCATTTGCCAGGGGCTCCAGTGCTGGGCTCTGGAGTTACAAGTGCAGAGAAGACAAATGCAGGTCTGCCTTTCAGGGCTCCTCAGTTAAGAAATGGTCACTCCTGCCCTAGCCAGTGGATAGAGCATCAGCCTGTGGACCGAAAGGTTTCTTTTGGGTTAGTTTCCGGTCAAGGGCACGTGCCCGGGTTGCTGGTTTGATCCCCAGTGTGGGCGTGTGCAGGAGGCAGCCGGTCATCGATGTTTCTATCTCTCTCTCCCTCTCCCGTGCCTTGGTTGCGGGCACATGCCCAGTGGGGGGTGTGCAGGAGGCAGCTGATCGATGTTTCTCTCTCATCGATATTTCTGGCTCTCTATCCCTCTCCCTTCTTCTCTGTAAAAAATCAATAAAAAATATATTTAAAAAATAAATAAATATAAAGTCTCAGCCTAAAACATGACATGACCCAGTCCATCCTAACCTGAGAGATAGAGGCCACCTGAAACTTAGACCTTTGCTCTGAAAGGAACCTTTAAGATAACTTGCGGAAAGTGAGGCTTGCAGACCTGTGATTGTCCAAAATCCCTGAGCTAATGCCGAAAATCAGCACAGATCCCCAATCCCATCTGCCATTACCCCAGCCACCATCTCCAGATTTGAAACCCTGGCCTAACAAAGGGGTCCAAGTGTTAGGGGCAAAAATAGAATATTGGGGACTAGCTATGGTTATGGGAAATATTAGTCATGCTCTGTTAACCATGATTGCCTCGTGCTGGTTAAAGAAAAAACATTCTGCCACTAAAGCAGTGGTTCTCAACCTTCCTAATGCCGCGACCCTTTAATACAGTTCCTCCTGTTGTGGGGACACGTTCAGGAGGCAGCTGATCAGTGATTCTCTCCCATTATTGATGTTTCCTTTCCTCTCTGAAATCGATAATAAAAATATAAACAAACAAGCTATGGTCTGAATGTCTGTCTCCCCGGCCTACTTCCTGTTGAAATCTACCCTGCAGGCAATGTGATGGTATTAGGAGGCGGGGCCTTTGGAAGGTGACAAGGCCATGGGCGGAGCTCTTATAAAAAGGCCCTTAGAGGTCCCGCCCCCTCCCATCCGGAGAGGAGCAGGAAGAGAGATGGTTGGCTGCGGACCTAGAAGCTGGCCCTCCTTACAAGTCACTTGCTCTGCTCACACCTTGACCTTGGACTTCCCAGGCTCCAGGACGGTGAGGTTACCTTTCTGTTGTTTATACGCCACCCGGTTGATGGTATTTTGGCGTAGCAGCCCAAACAGACTGCAACAGTCTGTTGTATTCCTCTTGGTACAGCCGAGAAAGCTGAGGCCCATTGAGGTATAATTGACAGTATATTAGTTTCAGGTGTAACACGCAACGATTCGCTATTTGTATATACTGTGAAATGAACACAAGTTGTTACAACGTTATTTCTTTTTTGTGTGATAACTCTTAAGATCTACTCTTAGCAACTTCCAGGTATGTAATAGTGTTTTTAATTATAATTACCATGCTGTATGTTGTACACCTATTATGTTTGTCTTATAATGAGAGAGTTGCACTTTTTAAAAAAAATATTTTATTGATTTTTTTTTTTTTTTTAGAGAGGAAGGGAGAAGGATAGTTAGAAACATTGATGAGAGAGAAACATCAATCAGCTGCCTCCCGCACACCTCCTACTGGGGTTGTGCCCGCAACCCAGGTACATGCCCTTGACAGGAATTGAACCTGGGACCTTTCAGTCCGCAGGCCGACGCTCTATCCACTGAGCCAAACTGGTCAGGGCGAGAGTTGCACTTTTGACCCTCTTCACAAATTCCCCCTACCCTCCACCTCTGGCGACCGCCAAGCTTCTCTGTATCTATAAGCTCCGTTTTGGGGAGTATTTTTTAAGATTCCACATATAAATTAGATCATATGGTATGTCTTTTTTCAGACTTATCAATTAGCATAATGCCCTTCAAGGTCCATCCATGTTGTTGCAAATGGTAAGATGTCATTATTCTTTTATGGCTGAATAATAGTCCATTGTGTGTTTTCTTTATCCAGTCATCCATTGATGGACATTTAGGTTATTTCCAAATTTTATTGTTGTCAATAATGCTGAAG